ACAAACAAAAAAGGCCACATGTAGTACTTTGCACACTAATTGAAGACAGTTTGGTCCTTATAGTTATAATACGCAGGGTCTCCAGAGAACAACTTATAAGATAACTTGAGTCTGGTTAATAAAAAGCGTCTACAGTTTTGGAGTTGGTTTTATAGGGCGGCGATGATGAGTCTTTTGGAACAAAGTGTGATTGGTAAAGAAACTAGAAAGCTCAAGAAAAAGGAAATAATGCATGTGGTTTCCTTTTGTTCTATTCACTAAAAGACTTTTCCAAAGAGGAAAGTAACACTTTTCACCGTTTTCAGCTTCAGCTTTTCACCATCTTGCCGTTTTCCTTTCTATCGGTGCTTTTTTCATCTTCTACCTTAGCTCATAAGCCTCAGATCCACGAGGACCACGACCCTCGTAGTAATTAAAAATTGACTTTTTTTAACGTTAATTACAAGTTGTCTTTTTGTGTTACTGTTGTAATATATTCCCTTCGTTTTCGAATAGTTGTCGTTTTAGAGCTTTTTTTTGTTTTAAATTAGTTGTCGTTTTAAGGTAATAATGTAATTTATGCCAATAACTACCCAAATTACCTTCATTTTATTGAACACAAATTATTTGTAAATAATTACTTGTCATTTTTATGAGGTTAATATAGTCATTGTATACCTTTTTTAATTTGTCTAAATACAGTTAAAATGACAATTTAAAAAAAAACAGAGGGAGTAATAGGGGTTCTTTTGATAAACAATTTAATATTATGGTTAACTGTAATATTGTAATGTTGGTTCTGGTAACCGTTAATAATTGTGTCAGAAAATGTCGCATTATTTTTTATTCTATATTTTTTTTACTAACAAAAAAACTGAAAAAGAACCGAAAGGTAAAATTAATCGAGGTTAATGCCAGTCATTTGAAAATGATTATACTTTTTTGTCGGTTATAATTTTGTTTTTCCGATAAATATGAGAAAATTGAGAGCAGTGTAGGAGTATAGTGTAGTGGGAAAGTCTGGAAACAGCTATCTAACTTTTTCCTTTTTCTCTATGATTCTGTTGTGAATAATGCAGAGTCACCGTGAGCTCAGGCGCCACCGTAACGAAGAAGAAACCTGAAGTAGAAGAAGCCATGGGATGTGCGGCGTCCAAGCTCGATAACGAAGATGCTGTACGGCGGTGTAAGGATCGCCGCCGTCTGATGAAAGAAGCTGTCTATGCTCGCCATCATCTCGCCGCCGCTCACGCCGATTACTGCCGTTCGCTTCGTCTCACTGGATCTGCTCTTTCCTCATTCGCCTCCGGTGAGCCTCTCTCTGTATCGGATCAAACTCCGGCTGTTTTCCTCCATCCTCCTCCTCCTCCGCTTTCTGAACAATCTCCGGCTAAATTTATCCCTCCACGTTTTCCGCCGTCGCCTGCTCCTTCTTCTGTTTATCCTCCTTCGACGTCTCCTTCCGTCGCTACTTCTAAAGTCATGTCCACCTCTTCCAATCGACGCCGGAAACAGCAGCCAAAACCTAAACTGCCTCATATTCTCTCGGAGTCAAGTCCTTCGTCTTCTCCGAGGAGTGAGAGCTCCAATTTCATGCCGAATTTTTATCCCGGTGCTTATCAGAACTCTACTTACTCCGCTACTCCTTCCCATGCCTCCTCCGTCTGGAACTGGGAAAATTTCTACCCTCCTTCTCCTCCCGATTCCGAATTCTTCAACAGGAAGGCTCAAGAGAAGAAACAAAACTCCGATAGTCGCTTCAACGATGAGGATACGGAAACAGAGAGGTCAGAGTATGATTTCTTCGACACAAGGAAGCAAAAGAAGAAGCAGTTCGAATCAATGAGCAATGCGGTGGAGGAGGAGACGGAGACGGAGAGAGAGGAAGTACAGTGTAGTGAATGGGAGGATCACGATCATTACAGCACGACGAGCTCCTCGGACGCTGCGGAGGAAGAGGAAGAAGATGATGATGATAGAGAGTCAATTTCCGAGATCGGGACACGCTCCGAGTTTGGATCTACGGTGAGAAGTAATTCGACGAGACGGCATCATCAACAACCTTCACCAATGCCGCAAGTATACGGCGGCGCTGAACAAGGTAAATATGACAAAGTAGATGATGCGACGATATCTTCTGGTAGCTATAGAGGCGGAGGTGAGATCGCTGACATGAAGATGGTGGTTAGGCATAGGGATTTGAAAGAAATTGTTGATGCGATTAAGGAGAATTTCGATAAAGCCGCTGCCTCCGGCGAGCAAGTCTCTCAGATGCTCGAGCTCGGCAGAGCTGAGCTTGATCGCAGTTTCAGCCAGTTGAAGAGTGAGTTCTATTCTCGCTTTGATAACTTGGAATTATCCATGCTTTGATGAAATTGAGTTCGTGACATTGTGAATTTTGGTTTGTACATTGTTATTAGAAACGGTGATACATTCGAGTAGCATATTGAGCAACCTGAGCTCTACATGGACCTCGAAGCCACCATTGGCAGTCAAGTACAGGCTGGACACGACTGCGCTGGATCAACCGAACAGTTCGAAGAGCCTTTGTTCCACTCTTGACCGTCTCTTGGCATGGGAGAAAAAGCTCTATGAAGAAATTAAGGTCTTTGCAGGTTTTTACTTTTCTGAAATTTACCAATTGAATGTTGGTAGCTGATGACTTTTTTTCCAGGCTAGAGAAGGCTTGAAGATTGAGCATGAGAAGAAGTTATCACAGCTTCAAAGCCAAGAATATAAAGGGGAGGATGAAGCTAAGTTAGACAAGACAAAGGCCTCTATAACGAGGTTACAGTCACTGATCATTGTTACTTCTCAAGCTGTTACAACCACATCTACTGCCATAATCCGTCTTCGTGATACCGACCTTGTTCCACAACTCGTTGAGCTCTGTCATGGGTAAGTTTGCTCTATCTACATAACTGAATCACCTGTTGCTTGATGTTATCTTGTGATCCAACAGTTTTCTTGAATTTGACATTTTTGGCAAGCAATCATTATTCTTTCCCCGTTTGGTTTCTTAAATTCAGTATAGTATTATTCATTGCCACCTACTTTTCATATCTTTGAAGAATCTTGTGGACTCAATAAGTAGGTGAACAATAATGATGCGTTTTAGAATTCTGTGGTCCTGGATATGCTTAGAGTGTGACAAAAAGGTCTCTTACCTCTCTTGTCTATTGTTACAATTTATTTCTTAGCTTTTTAAGTCTTATAGCTTATCCTGTGGAAGTAACTAGTAAGTTACTGAAATTGGTAATTATGTCTCAGAGTTTAGCGGCAATAACATTGTTGGTTAGGCGTATTGACTAATGTCTCCTGGTTTCTGGTATTCATCATGTGAATTCTGTAATCAATTCGGTACATTTTGATAAACAAAATCACAACAAGACATTAAATTTGACTTTAGGAGACATTAAACTTTGTGTTTGTTTTTCACCTGATGCAGCTTTATGTACATGTGGAAATCTATGCATCAATACCATGAGACGCAGAACAGCATCGTGGAGCAAGTCCGGGGGCTCATTAACAGATCGGGCAAAGGCGAATCAACATCTGAGCTACACAGACAAGCAACTCGTGACTTGGAATCAGCTGTCTCTTCTTGGCACTCCAGTTTCAGTCGTCTGATTAAATTCCAACGTGACTTCATACACTCAGTTCACGCCTGGTTCAAGCTAACCCTTCTTCCGGTTTGCCAAGAAGATGCCGCCAATCTTCATAAAGAGCCGCTCGATGCTTACACCTTCTGCGATGAGTGGAAACTCGCGCTAGACCGTGTTCCCGATACTGTCGCTTCCGAAGCAATCAAGAGCTTCATCAATGTTGTACACGTGATATCCGCGAAACAAGCGGATGAACACAAGATAAAGAAAAGAACAGAATCAGCATCAAAAGAGCTTGAGAAGAAGGCTTCGTCGCTTCGAAACCTAGAGAGAAAATACTACCAGTCATACTCAGTGGTTGGTTTAGGTTTACCAGAGTCAGGACCCGATAACCAACACATGTTAGATGCTCGAGACCCGTTAAGCGATAAAAAGTCAGAGCTTGCGGTTTGCCAAAGGAGAGTAGAGGAAGAGATGCTGAAATACTCAAAGGCAATAGAAGTGACAAGAGCCATGACTTTGAATAATCTGCAGACAGGGTTGCCTGGTGTGTTCCAATCTTTAACAAGCTTCTCTGCTTTGTTCATGGAGTCTCTTCAAACGGTATGCACTCGCTCATACTCTATCAAATAGGACATTATATTATATACACATATAAATTGATATTCTTACAGAGTTACAGTAACAGCGTCAACTCTTAAAGTTTTTAAAGTATGGCTCTTGACTTTTTGTCCTTAATTATGTCTTACAGCATTTTGACGTCAGTTATTGTATTGTTCCTTTTTTACCAAGAAAGTGTTGAATACATTTCAATTTATTATGAGGAGAATGTAAATAAACAAAATTTTGAAACTGAGGGCGTCGCTGTGATTCTGGATATGAATAGAGGGAATTCGTAAGTGGAAAGAAGATCTTGATACGTGTAAATGTGATATAACCTCTAACATGTGTTCTTAATCAGTCAGGATGTGATTTATCTCGGCTATGGTTTAGGTAACTCGAAAGAAGAAATTTAGGTTAACCTTTTAGTTGTTTTCTAGAGTTTGTGGTTTATTTACTGTGTTTGGCGAGAAAATGAAGAAAACTGGGAAGAAAACATGGGTAAAAATAATCTCTGTAGTGATAATCTACTAAAAGCTTTGATATGATCTTCAATTCCAAGTGGGTGGGGGTTTAGGGACTGTCTCCATCGGATTCTCTCTCGAGTTCGCATCTGACAACTCTTCACTTCTTGTCTGAAAGTGGAACCACATGGTTTTGTAAAATCAGGATTTACTCCATGATCTTCTCTGTCTTCTTCTTGCCTTGTGCCCCTCCCAGAACCTAATAGACAAAATCTCCCTATGACCCCTCTTGTCTTTATCCTTTTACTGTTTGAGGATAAAAGATCCATACAACGGAAACAAACAAAAATACTTGCAAAAGAAATATCTTTAATTAGCTCTTTCCATATGAAAGCCTAAACCTGGCTGGCTTCCATTTCCATACTCCATACAACTGGTCTGATGTCAATGTAATAACTATTTTAAGCATACAAGGTCTGAAATCAACTGATTCAATAAAAAATATTTAACAACATGATCATACCCAAGTACATGTATGTACTCACTTCTCTGGATCAAACTCCTTTTGCAACTCTCAGGGCCTCAGGGGCTTGGGATGACGAAACTCACATGACCTGGCTAATTGTGTTTTTGCGCATATCTAGCGAAGAGATCCAAGAAACAAATGACTATTTGAACATAGAGAATATCATGACCATGGACCTACATTACCCGTTTCAGCAGGAAATCCAGCGTATTGTTTTGTAGTTGTCAAGTGGAATTAAGAGAGCATGGCAAAAGCATCAAGTGATTCCAAGGCTCACCATAATATTTTTTATCGACAATTCTCTGGTCCAGTCCAGGCAGATCAAATAATTTCAGTTGTGGAGCTGAAATATAAAGGATAAAGGTAAATATGTTATTTGATCACATAAAATTTAACAGTCAGAAAAAAATGCAGGTCACCCATGTACAAAAGAGTAAAATATTAAACTTAAAGCTCCCTTGATAATAACATATGATACCCACCAACTTAAAACTTTAGGCTCTAAACAAACTAGTGCTCTAGACCGTATTTAGTGGTGGCAACATACTATAGATAAACCGTTTCACTGATACCAAAGACATTCAGACACCCAACTTAATTGTAACTTATGATTGTGTTACTATTTTAGAAATGAGACCAAAGAAGGCAATCAATTCCACTTACCTGTACATCATTTATATCTTCATACCAGTCGTTTGAGAGCTTTGAAATGTCCAAATTTGATCACCATTTTCCCAAAAATTATGTGTACCACCAAATATGACACAAGTCAAGCTATATGGTGACAGTTACACGGGCGAGAATTTGCAGTCCAACTTAGCAGCGATATTATCAAGAACTTTGTTGAAATGTGGATCTTCTAGTCCTTTTATTGTCCATTGTAGCAGTCTGATATTAATGTCACTTAGTATTGGATCTCCATCTTCTGTACAGTGAAGTTGTATCAGGCGATCTATACATTTGACCAAGTATTTGCTGGATCTTAGCTTAAAATGGTTAATAAACTTCTCGGCGTCCTCTCCAGCTTCAAAACTTGATACACACATACTCTCCAAAGTGTCCGTTAAGTTGAAAACAAGAAGTGTGCCTTCAATAGCCTCCTCCTTGGTGATTTCATTCGGCAGTAAAGCAGATATTCCAGAGAATCCCTTTCCTTGTTTGAATCCGGTACTCCTTGATTTCTTAAAGGCAAGAATTTTCCCAGTTGCAGCATAGTGCAGTACCAGTTCATACTCCTCATCTGTTACTGAATATGGAGAACCAAAAAGTATGCCAACCACGACTCTTCTTACTAAAAAATTGTTTTGGAGGCCACAGCTGAAAGATGGATGTGTTTTCCGAGAATCCAATTCATAAGAAACTGAATTGGTGATTTTGTTTTCAAAATCTCTCAATATGTCTTCCACAATACTAGAAGACTTTATTTTGCCAGAAACGAGCCTATCTGGTTTCTTTCTCTTGCCAGTTATAGTCTCAGTACGATGTGCTTCTGAACCGCAACTGTTGCCGATACATATCTCTGAGACTCTAATGAGAGACTTACTTACTGATACTTGAATGGTTCCACTTCCAGGGTTTAGAATCCAAGCAATGTATGTAGCCGCAGCGATGGAGAGATCTTCTACATCACATGCTTGTCTACAATCAGCCACTTTTGAAGTGCATCTATGTTGGATATTTTCAAACGAATTTCCTTCTGAGAAGAGCATAGCAGAAGCAAAATAGAACCAATCTGGGAAGTTAATAGCCAAAGCCCTGCCATAAGATACAACATCATTCAAAACCCACTCACATACATGTATATATAAAGTGATCAAACATCAGGTAATCATGTTGCATTTTCATGTAAAGTTACCATTCGGTTTTGTCATCTAATGCTTGAACTTTTATTGGAGTGGGCTTACAATTAGTATCCCGTTGTTGTTGCCTAGGGACAGCAGATGCTTTACTGACAGTATGAGCTAACATTAGGAGGGACTTGAAACTGAGAGGACCAGCCAAGATTCTCAGAAATTGACACTGGGAAGGAAAGTATGTATCAGAAAATGGTAACCTGGAAGCTAGTTCCATTGGTATACCCCACAACGATGGTTTTGAAATTGTATCCATTATTGCAGAGACCAAACCAGCAAGTACTTCAAAAACAGAAGCAAGTCCCCTGGCGTTAAGAATGAGATTGCATCAGAAAGCAAGAAAGATGGAAAGCTAGAGATGACAAAGCATAAGATTACATGTATCTATTATTGTAGATTTACACGACACGAATTGGATAGGAACTCACGTAAGCAAAAGCCATTTATGTAAGAGGGCTCTAGTGTTGATAAACATAGTAGGAGATAGTGCTAAGCAGATGACAATATCGCGCCACTCTGCCCTCTCGAAAAGCTCCTTTTTTATAGAAAGGAAAGGCCTTTCCACAACATCTTTCAAGATTCTGGAAACATCTTCCTTCAAAGACAATGGATCTTGATACCAGAACAGAATCCTGATCATCAAAAAGTGTCAGACCGATCTACCTTTTTCTGAAACAAGAGAGGAAACATCAGAAGCTGTGGCTTCAGTTTCACAAGGTCTATCGACAAATGATAAAAATACTGCAGACTAACATAGCTTGGTATAGAAACAGTACAAGAGGTCAAACCTCAGAGGTATCTCGTGGCTCTCTACAGATGATTCTCTCGGTAAGTAAACAAGAAGCTTCGAAACAGCCCTATTTCTTCCATCCATAAGCTTTGTATGAGCATTGAAGCTGTTGATCTTACATGTTGAAGCTGCTGATCTCACAACAGCTTGGAATAACAATGTAGCCAATCTTCCTATGAACAGTTCCAAGTCAGAAATATATGAGAGAACAAAAAGTTTAAAAGCTTAAGATAAATCCTAGGATAAGCTAAATAAAACCCACCATTTGCCCCCAGTTTATCAATAATATCCTTAGAGATTTCGATCAATTCTTCAGAGCACTGAGGTAAATTGGAGCTCCCAAACTGTAATGTTTCCTCGTTTCGATACTTAAGTACCTTACAATTGCTTGAAGATGATAAGGCACAAACAAGTGTTCGCACCATATACTCAATCGCCGAATCAAAAACCTGAATTTTATAAGAAAATCACGCGCTCAAGTAAGAACCCAGCATATGTAGAAACAATGCAAATCCAGAAGAAATGAAACTAACCTGAGGTGCCTTGAAGCACATTAGAGATAAGGATGCGTCCAGAACCCTGACCCCAGAATCCTCGCCGCCGATGTCCAGAGTCAGAGATCGGTTAAGCTCCGAGATAGCTAGTCCCATAGAGGAAGTAGACTCTTCCACTTCTTCTTCGAATAATTGATCTCCGTTCTGAAGACTGTAAGCAAGCGCGGCCAAGAGATCGGCGACTGCAGACGGAGAGGACATCGAACAGCCGAGCAGACTCAATCGCCGGCGATGTAGAGAATTCCGAAATTACTAAAGACTTGGATCATAAACCGGTTAAGCTAAATGTTTGTAATTCCCACTCAGATCATAAACCGGTTGAGCTATGAGTTATGACGGTATGAAGTATGCATTGTTGGGCTCTTATTAGGCTTGTGTTTGTTTCGTAATCTGTTATGTATGTTGGGCTTTACTTGGCCTTGTAAAATTTACTTTTTGGAGAAAAAAAAAAAAGAAAAGAAGCTAATTATATTTGTCATATGCTCACAGAAATATGTAGTGGGTAAAAGAGAGATATTTTAGCCGAAAATGCTCATAAAGTCACAATATATATCTTGTGTTTTGAGTCTGAGTTTGATGTATCACATGATTCTAAGCATAAATTATTTGTCACTTTCTTTGGCTCTCTGCACCCATTGCCTCGTCGGTTTTCTTGGATCTTGCGAATTCTGCTTCCTTTGATTGACATTATGCCCCCGGCCTCGGCCTCTGCCTCTCCCTCGACCTCTCCTGTTGCTGGAGCTGCTAGAGCTTGTCTCTGATTCAGCTTCTTTGGGTTCTTCTTCTCCTTGTTCTTGGCTTTGCCCAGCTTCTTCTTCTTCGTTTGGTGACGATGATGCAGGAGCTGGTGGAGGAAGATACATACCGGGTACAACCGATATGTTTTTCTTCGGTTGAACCAAACCGCCCTTTTCTTCCTGCGTCTTTAGAATAGCTTCAAACCGTTCTCTTCTTATGTTCTCTGAATCTGACTGGAGCAGCGGGTCTTGGTCCTTACCTTGTATTAAACCAGAGTCCTGCGTATCAGCCAAATGCAGTCAATAAAAGAGAATTAAAAGTTGAATCTTGGATTGTGAATTGAGGGGTTAGATCAATGAAAGGCACTGGATTGAATCTGAAATTGATGGCTAACTCACCTGTAGAGATGATTGACCACCAACTAAGTCAAGAACATGTTAAATGTCACTCGCATGAAAAACTTTGCGGCACACTGGACAGTTTCCCAAGCTTTTATCTGCTGATCCAGAATTACCGGCAATACTTGTTTATTTAGATTAACTTTTCCAATTTCCGTCAAAAAAAGACCTTACGATACAAACCTTCTCGAGTACTTGATCCTCTACGCATATGTGAAGTGTCACCAGATTTCGAATCAGCATCTTTTTGTGCATGAAGCCAATTCCACCACCTAATGATGCAGTCACTGATCACTTGAGATCAACAAAGAACAATTAGACAACTTAAACATTGGAAAATAATCCCAAAATAACAAAGAAAAGAGAATTGTAACTGAGGCTAACTATTCTTTACCAGTGGAAACAATGAAAACAAGACATCAGCTTCATAAAGGGCATTTGTTTACTCCCGTCTTCCTCAGGGAATAAGGGATACAAACACAGTGGACAATCTCCATCCGGGTGATTCATAATTGTGAGCCTCTCAACTGCTTCCTAGAAACATATATGTTTAGTACACTACATGTCATTCTAATATTAATCAAGATTGCATATGTATATCTGCGCACATACACACATTGTAAGAAATTATATGGAGATGTTACCTCACAAAGTTCTACAAGCATTAAAGAAGATGATAGTTGAAAAGCTTTCTCTTGCACAATGCCAGTCAAATGCTTTTGCCTTTGGTCATCAAGACCCTTGGATTCAATCAGAGTAATTCGAGGTGGTTCATCTGGATACTGTAATAACAAAAGAAGATACTTAAGCTAAATGGCTCTATAAGAAAAGCTCAAAGATAATGACATTGATACTAAATCTACCTTAGAACCTGCTTGGATTCTCACAACAGCTTCCACAAACTGCAGAGCAGAAACAATGTTACCAAATAGCAGGAAATACATAAAAAAAAATCAAATCATATGCAAAAGAAATTGCATAGGATCACTGAGTTCTTGCTACTGAACTTGAAAGCAAATTTTGGGCAAATCGAAGTCACATCAAATCATACTACAAAAGCAATTAAAAGTTTTCTACTTGTTAAGGTCGAATTACTGATTTTGGAAGATCGCCAAATCGGACAATATCAATGCGTAAAAATTCTGGGGTTTTCAGATAGTTGTCGATTCCGAAGAACAAATCAGAAGAAAATTGGGGGAAAAAAAAGGACCTGCTGAGAAGAGATGTCGGCGGTACGGGGCTTGATATGGAGGTGAAGATGAGGAGGATAGGAATCCAATATAACGCAGTCTTCGCCGTAAACTGCTTCTAGAGCTTCCACTTCCATGGCTACCTCTTCCTCCGTCATCTTGAGAAGAGGAAGAGGCCGCACAGATAGACGGCGAAGAAGCAGACCTTTTTTTATTTACGCCAAGTTTTCTCATTATATTTCAATGTAATATCTAAAACAGCCCAATATTATATCAACAGTTCTGATTTCGTCCAAATTTAATAGTTTCTGCTCAAATTCACCCTTCGATAACCGAGTACGCTTGGAATAGCATCAAAAATATTATTAAATCCTCATACGTCGAAAAAGGGGTGTTTTTGTTAATTCAGTTTTTACATCCACGATAAGTAAATTTTAAAAAAATTGCTATCAAAAAAATAAATAAAAAAAAATATTTCGCAATAAAAGAAATTATAAAAAAAAAAAAAAAGACGTAGCGATGACGGAGTTGAATTTAACCGGGAATCTGCCGACGGGACTCTATGGTAAGTAGTTTTTGATTCAGTGCTGCGAAGGTTTTCGTATTTTTAAAACGAAATCGAGCTTCTTTGCTGTTACTTTTTAACAGATTTTGTCGTTTGGGAACATGTTTGCTTCCCTGTTAATGATGGTAATTGTTCAAACCTCATACATTGTCTTGATTATCTGGTTGTTGCAGTTTCCAATACTGGTTTTGCTTGGAGAATTGTTTTATCGAATTCAGAGTTTAGTTTGTAGAATGTATGTATTCTCAGATTCTTATCTGCAAGTCTGACCAAATGACTAGATTTCTTTCTTCCCCAAATCTACTTACTTGTCACTTTTCTTTCTTCATCTTGTAAATGCCTATATATCACAAACATAGATAATTGGGAAGATGTGAAAATTTTGTCAATCAATTAAGATTGGTCATTTGAGATACTGTTGGACAGGTTACTAGAAATTGTTAGACCAAGGACCTATAACTGGTAAAAGTAGTAGAGTTAGTGCATGATCAAACAAACCAACTTTGGTTTGGTTGGTGGTCCAGAAGGGGGGAAATAGCTCTTTCCTTCTCTAATAGTAAGGAAGTTCAAATAGTAATTCTGTTATGGATTATTGATGAAGAGGTAAGACTCTGCCTCTCTTCTCTTTGCTGCTTTTGTTGTTCGACTTGGTGCTGCTATTACTCTGCGTTTACTAAAAGAATGAATTTCTATTTCTAGTCTTTTTGTTGACCTGAAATAAGTTCTCAAAATATTAATATCTCACATTTACTTCCCCTGCCTGTTATCTTTTTTGGTTTTAAGTCTTAACACTTGCTGTTTTCATCCATTTATCAAACTTTGCTCTTAGATGAGAAACTAATATGAATCTAACTCGGATAGAAGAGAGTTCCAGGGATTTAGCTGGAGGGTACAGTTACTTTAGCATTATTCTCAAAGCATACGGATATGACAACAAGTTATGCTTTTATCTGATATAAACAAGTGCAGTTTACTTGCAGTTATGTGATAATCTAGTGATATTAAGCCATACACTGAAAAACAACATGGGAACAGCCTTGTCGAACTGTATGATTTGGGTGACAGTCATTAACACCATCTGCATAAATTGTTCTTCTTGAGTGTATCAATGAATCTTTGTTGTGTAATATCATTGCTAGAGATATAGTCAAGAAAATCGTTGAAGCTGAATTCTCCATAGGCAGCTGGTTTATTTTCATTGACGAGCTCAAGTGCTGGACTTATTTTCTTGTGCAGAGGCAGACTGTGAAGACTTGCAAAAGAGAGCCGCTTGTAATCTTTGTTCACTGTTACACGATGAACCACACTCTTGTATATGCCATTGCTCATGACTTCTATTTGATCTCCCAACTGGACTATCAGAGCGCCTTCAATATACGGCACACAAACCCAGTTCTTGTTGCAGTCCATTATCTGCAGGCCCTGGCTACTCTGGAGTAAGATGGTCAGTGAGCCAAAGTCCGAGTGTGGTGGCATTCCCAAGGCAAATTCGGGTTCAGGACAAGCTGGATAGCAGTTCACCGCCATGACTTGCGAGTCTTCTTCAATTTCTTCTTGTAAGTAATTTTTCTCCAGTCCTAGACTTTCTGAGATAGCTTCAATTAGTTGCTTATGTAGCACATGCGTTGCTTCTGCGTATTTCCCCACTTTTTCCCTGGAAAAAAAGGTCATTGGCAGGAGACTATATCAGTTCTGAGTCCCAATGTTTTGATACATAATTCCCCAAATCGGAGTATTATACCCGTCAAAGGAGAACAAGTTATGTATAATATTCAGATAGTGAAGATGGCCTAGATAGGTTCACTTACTTGTAGCATGGAGGGTTGGATGGCCACAAATCGATCCACTTCGAGAGAGGATGGGAGTAATGTTTGATGAAATCTCTCCAGTAATGAACTTTGTCTGTTGAGTGGTTTAAGCTGGTGCCATACCTTACTGGTGTATGAACGTTATCAGAACCCAGAAGCATCTTCTCATCGACAGGTAAGTCAAAGAACCTTGTAGCTGCATCTAGCGCATCTTTCACCACTGATGATGATATTCCATGGTTTATAATCTGTAGAGAATTAAGATTGGATCTGAGTTGTGTTATAAAGTATGAAGATAAGCATCTTCACATGGCTACTTTTTTAAGTCTCAATAAAGACAGTAACTAAGGACTTTGTTTTTTCTCAGTTTGTTTTGATTAGGGACTTTGTTGAGTATGAGATAAATGCAAAAAGACAATAATTGCCTTTCTCATAAAGTCATATATCAGATGTGATTGGTAGATGCTATAAAACATTACACTAGTCCTAGTGACCAGAGAAATGAAACACATGGCTGAATTTAATGAACTATATAGACACATGAAAATGAGACACTCAAACATGAAACTTGTTATTCATTTGGATAGTAATAATGCATGAAAATGGGTTGCATAACTTGTAATGTGTAATAAGTAGACAAAGAGAGTATAAACATTACCTGAAAGAAACCAAATCCCTTGCAGGCCATTTCAATCTCATGGATGACACAGCGTCTAAGCAAAGGATCGTGTAAGAGGGAGAGATCAATGACAGGGAGCGTGATGGTGTCACTGCCAATGCTTGAACCGAGCATTGGTCGTTGTGAAGGTGGAAGAATGTAACGAGTAGGCACATGAAGGACACCTGAGTCGGTAAGTGCCATAGCACTGGTGAAGCAATCATCAACCACACTCTTAATTGTTTCTTCCATTGATTTTTTTTTTGGAGGAATCTGTTTTGGTACTTGAGATTCTGTTTGTTTATCCAACTCTGTCCTAAGTTATAGTAAAGAAACATGCAAAGCCCGTTTATATATATACCCAGGAAGATAACCTGTTTCTAGAAAAAGACAACATTTCTGCTTTTCTCTTTGAATACGGTTTTGGAAACTACCAGGTTTGTGTTCATATACATAAACATTATGACTAGTTGCATGTTTTGCTTTTTTTGGATATTTTATGAAAAAATAGAAGTCATCCATAAAATGGTTTTTATTCTTTTAACGGTTTCTCTCTTTTTCCTTTATAGGTTATAAAAATACATTATCTTTGATACTTTTTGGTTGTGTAAATGAAACTAGTATTGGTATAGGTACATTGGTGTGTGTATTACTAAACTATAGATGAGCTATTAATAAGGTTTTGGAGTTATATGAAGTTGAATGATATTATCTGAACTTGGCTCGCTTGAATCAATGAGATGATGTAAACATTGTGGACGAAGGGGAAAAAAGTGATGATTTGTTTTCTTCTGCCTCAGAGGATTCATTTGAAACGAGAAAATAAAATAAAATAAGTGGGTGACAAGTTGAGAGACAAGATTTTTTCAACTTGGTGGTGGTTCCAAAATTCAATCTGCCACATATTTTTCCAAAATGTTTTAAAACAAAACAATGATCTCTTCTTGTTCATATTATGTAACTTCTAAAATGCGTTGACTTTGGACTCATGTCGGTATTTGGGCCGAATAATAGTTGGTCCAACCTTTATGGTAATGAGGTTTGGGTCTTGGGCTTTTAGCACTTGGAGTTTCAACAAATATTTGATAATAACGTTTGGTAGTTCCATCATATGATAAATAACTTTGTATTGTTTTTATCAAATATTTTTGTTTAAATTTGTAAACTCAAACAACAAAAGAAATTTTTAACTAATAAGTGTTGGAATATGTCACCAATTTAGATCCTCTGGCAGATTTAGGTTTCACACGTTTTTATTGGTGAGATAAATTGATTGGTCTTTCTTCATAAGAATTTAGTTTATTGCTGTCATTGACAAATTTCAAACATTGCTAAATAATTTATCAAGAAACCCCGTAGCGAATTCTGTATATCGATTATTAGAAAAGAGATTATAGATCGTGGTGGCCATTTCCTACCATTATAATATCGTGATCATTTTTTTCCTAAAATTGTTTAGGTCTCAATTTCGATTATTTACTATCCTATTTCTTTCTTTTACTCCTTTGGAAAGTGCAAGACATTTTTTACCAAAAAAATAAAGAACTCACAAAATATTCAAATTCAGGTTTGATCAGAACTGTTTTATCTAAATAAAAAAAATCGTTATAAGAATGGTAAACTTTCGAGTCTTTCAATACAAGAAGTAAATCATTTGTCTCTAAAGGTCATATGATAAAAAAATTGAGAAATAATGAATTTAAAAAAAAAAAAAAAAAAACAGCTTATGAAATTGAGTTGGCAATGGAAGCCATGACTTCTTCAAACATTCTTCTTTATTAACTCTCTCATAGTAGTAGTCGTCATCGTCCTCCTCACCTCATAGCCTCTCTATATAACTAACCTCACCATTTTAATCTCTTCCTTAACTCTCTCTGTCTCTTCATCTATCTTCTGACATTATATAACTCAATGGGATCAACCGTGGCGGCCGCTCTCCTCCTCTTCCTAGCGGCAGTCCCTGCCGTCTTTGCCGTGACTTTCAAGGTCGGCGATAATGCTGGCTGGACTAGTGGTATTGATTACACCGATTGGGTCACTGGAAAGACTTTCAGAGTCGGTGACACCCTAGGTAAATAAAATGCTTGTTTTTACACTACACATAGATTACTTATGTCACAAGAAACATTTTTTTCACCTAACAAGATGATGATTTTTATTCTTTCAGAGTTCATATATGATCTTTCACACTCGGTGTCCGTGGTGGATAAAGCCGGCTATGATGGCTGCGACAGTAGCGGAGCGACACAGAATTTCTTCGATGGAGACACTAAGATCGATCTTACAACAGTTGGAACAATGCACTTCCTTTGCCCTACTTTTGGTCACTGCCTTGATGGCATGAAACTCGCCGTTCCCGTCCTTGCCGCCGCTCCATCTCCGTCTACTCCTTCTTCGCCCCCCTCCCCACCTTCGCCTCCCTCTCCGCCTCCATCTGCATCCCCGCCAACCAATGGCACGCCGGATTCAGACACATTGACGCCTCCACCGACTCCATTGACACCTTCGTCTCCAAACGCAGCGTCTACGGTAGTCATGAGCTATGGAATAATTGGAGTCACGATGATATTGATGTACGGTGTTATGACATAAATTACAGGGTGGAAACAGAGCATTTTTTTTGCTCGATGTCTTTTTTGGTCGGCGGTCTTTGGAACTACTTCACCACTACGTGCTCTTTGTGTGTTAGTAGTGTGTAACGAAACTCTTTTTTTATCCATTGACCATTTTTATTCTTCTTTTATTGATTACTTGTGGGGTTGATAAACGTGATAGCCATCTCCCCGCTATGTAAAAGTCCAGACATTCAAAATCGGGTTTGATAACAAGGGAAAATAACGGTTTATCTTCAACTGGTTGAACTAATTATATATATATATATATATATATATATGTTACATACGACTAGGCCTGTCAATTTGAAGCAAAGTCTGCGGGCCCGCCTTCTCTGCCCCGCTGCAGGACGGGTGCGCATCTAAAACTTTCAAAATGTAAAAAAGCGGGGCGACTACGGGTTGGTTTTATAAATTGCAGGTTTGTGCGGGTAAACCCGTAGATCCCACGGACTTTTCAAAAAAATAATATATAAAAATTTATCTAGCTAATATATAGTTGTCAAATATTAAAATAATTCGTAATATGTATATAAAATAAATAAAATATTAATTTTTTCTTAAAAATATGTGTATTTATATTTAAAATTATTATTAATTATATTTTTGTTTTAAATATAATTTAAAAATATTTTAAAAATAAGTTTTTAAAAGCCCGTGGGTTACCCGCGGTTCCCGCGAAATTAAGCGGGGTAAATGCGGATCTAGTATTTTCTCCCGCAGATTTTGCGGGGCGGATTTTTTATGGATCAAAAATTTTGAAATCCGCTGCGGGGCGGGTCTCGCAGGGTGGGTTTGACCCGCTTGAGAGTTCTACATATGACTTTAGATACAAGTTGAGGATTTAAGAATATTTGGGTCGAAACAATTCAATTGTCAAACATTCTAATTGGATCTAAACAAAACCCAAGACGTTGATGTGAGCTAACGAAAACTAACGTTGATTGAATAAAAATGAAAATCTGTAGAGCATAAAACATTGCTAATATACCGGATTTATTGATAACATATTGTTCATCACGAAAAAGAGCATACTGTATAAGTTTCAGATTCGAAATTCGATTTTACAAGAAGTAAATCATTGTTCCATACATGTCATGATTTTTTAAAAAATGAAGGAAAAAGTTTGCATATGGATAGTTGGTCATTTTACAAAGAGAAAATTTGAAAATAATAGAGAATTCGTAAACATAATAACAATAAGTTTTTAACAACTACTGTATTAAAGAAAAAAAAAAAAAAAAAAACTGACGAACTTGATATATTGAATTGGCAATTGATCAAGCCACGATATTTTCAAACATCTCACGTCACGGCCTTTTTCTATATAACTCACCTCACATTTTAGCCTCTTCCTTCCTCATGATCTCTATATATCTCAATGGGATTAACCGCCGGCGCTCTCCTCCTCTTCCTAGCGGCAGTCCCTGCCGTCTTTGCCGTGACTTTCAAGGTCGGCGATAATGCTGGCTGGGCTGGTGGTGTCGATTACACGGATTGGGTCACTGGAAAGACTTTCAGAGTCGGTGACACCCTAGGTAAATAAAATGCTTGTTTTTACACTACACATAGATTACTTATGTCACAAGAAACATTTTTTTCACCTAACAAGATGATGATTTTTATTCTTTCAGAGTTCATATATGGTCTTTCACACTCGGTGTCCGTGGTGGATAAAGCCGACTACGATGGCTGTGAAACTAGCAGACCGACGCAGAGTTTTTCAGGCGGAGACACTAAGATAAATCTTACAAGAGTAGGTGCTATACACATCCTTTGCCCTAGTCCTGGTCACTGCCTCGGTGGCATGAAACTCGCCGTTACCGTACTTGCCGCCGTTTCATCAGCGCCTTCACCGTCTCCATCAGGGCCATCGCCGTCTCCATCGCCGGGAAACGCAGAAAACGTGAAAAACGCCGAGTCTAAGAGAACCATGATGAGCTATGGAATGATTGGGGTGACGATGGTGTTGATGTACGGTGTGATTAGATAATTCCCGCAACATTTGGCTCGATATTGTTTGGTCTTCTTGGTCTTTCCAATTACTCCATCATCAACTGCTCTTATTGTGTGTACCCTAATAAATTTTTTACCCTTGTTCAATACTTTTTTGCTTATCATGTTCTACATGCTTATTGAGTACTCTACAAATCATAGATTCCGCTTCCTTCCTATGGGTATTAGCTCATGGAACAATATTTGCCGTTCGAATTAAGGAAATACAAGTTGTCATATATCTACGCCATATTAGTGCGTCAAAGGACGGCTCCGAGTGATTAAACTGTTCCGTTTGTAAACTGTAATATAGTCATCGCAACTTGTATTTTTGGATTAACAAATTTGTTTCTAACAGCAACATTACATTTGACTACTGTGAATGTGAAATACACATCTTCGCGGACCTGGGTTTATTTGTATTATATGTACTGGTAACTTTCAAATTATGTGGCCATATAGACCAGTCCATTGTTTGACCGTTCAAGTACGGTTTGTGATTGGTTTAAAACAGACATGGTTTAGGAGAAGACACCATTATTAACTTCAGCTATGTGAAGGAGAACCGATCATATTCATCAAATAGTTGTAAATATTGTACTGAGAGAAAAAAAAAAAAAAAAAAAAAAAAGTAAATCAAATTGATCAAGGTCAATAAAATTTGGTCGAGAATCATATTTTAAAATTTTGTCTAGTTAAATCTCATCAAGAGTTTGTTCATTTGTAAATTTGAAATAGGCTACATAAAGATCGCCATTGAATGTTGAAAGAGTCCTTGTTTGGGTCTTCTGAGTACTGGAAATGTAACCAAATGATTAGTAGCCCAAACACCAACTAACCAACAACAAAAAAAAAAAAAAAAAAAAAAAAAAAAAAAAAAAAAAAAAAAAAAAAAAACTAACCAACAACGTTTTACAAGCACCACAAGTTAGAAAAAACTGACCCCATACGAAACAAAATCTGAACCTGGTTTCATAGAAATAACAACCCAGTGTCCCAAATTTCATGAACCAACACTAATATAGAGGAAGATGGAGTGAAGAGCGAGAGAGAGAGAGAGGGAAACCTTGTCTTCTTTTTTGCTTGCTAGCTCTGTTGTGGTTTTAGCTTTGATATAAGGGTTTTTGAGGTGTTAGATCTTTCTACTTACAAAGTAGTCTTTGGTAAGCTATTTGCTATTGACTGAGAAGACTGTATGATGGCAAATCTTCAAGACATGTAATGTCTTCAACCATAATCTCTCTCTCCAGTTGCCGCCTTGTCGATTTCATTACAGTCTGTTATTCACACAATTACCACTTTAGCACAATTCATTTGGTGAACTTATGTATAGCCCAAGATAAAACACCAAGAATCAAATCTATCAATACTCAAGTTTCTTCGAATATAAAATTTTTTGGGACATTAGTATAGGTTACAGAATATACTTACATTAAACTCCATGTATGAAGCACGCATGGAGAGCCATTGCTGATCCATAAGCTTGAAGGCAATGCAATAAAGAAGGTCAAACGCAGATTCGTTCACTGCTTACAACACAAGTCGTAGGACACAGGCTTAGTAATCTAATTCGTGACAAGATAAGAGGTCATGAAATATAATCAGAATTGTCTGAGGATTACCCGAAAGAAATCTTAGAAATGTTTCCCCAACAATACTTCGTGGTTTCACTGTAAAATTGAAAGGTATCTATTTGTTAATATACACATCTAGATATTGTTACTGAACCTGAGTATCTCAAATAGGGTACTCAAACTAAGTACTCAAGACTAAGGCAAATGCCCAATTAGAAGATAAAAAAAAAGTAGGAGTGGTAAGTGGTTATGCTATTTAAGCTTGTTGTCTCAAGATTGATGCCTAATGCATGTAATAACGGTTCACAAAGGTATGTCTATGTAATCATGGAAATAAAAAATATGGTTGTACCTGCTTCAAGATCAAGCATCTGGATGAGCATGAATGTTATATTGATGCCAGCAACAGCAAAGGGGTATTCCCACACAGAACGATCCCCAACCTGTTTCCGCAGAAGGTCTTGGAAGGATTTCTGCAGGAAAGTAAACAAACAAGCGGCATCAGAAATTGAATTGACCGGATTCAGATGGTATTATTACCCTGATCAAAATATTAGATCTGATGGCAACATATAAAAAAAACGAGTACAGGTATGGTGTCACTGGAATTGAACATTTTAACGAAAAGACAATTTTGAGAAGCATTTGCAACTGGTTTATTTATAAAGGCGTACCGGGAATTGTCTAGCGAAGTACAACAAGTTTTCAAGAGAAATAAAACCACCACCCCTGCCAGATGCTCTACTGTGAGTCAATTGAAGTGGAAAAAATCTAAGGGTGATTGAAAGAAGATAAGAAGTGACATTACCTAAAATCTGTTGAAGGATCTTTTCCTTGCCAACCCATTTCCTTCCACTGCTCAGATACAATTCCGTGTAGCTCTTCTTCGGGAAAGGCAAGTTTCCAAAGATCCTTCAGAGCTTCCTACACGCATGTGAAATAGCAAACAATATATTTATGTAACACAGGTAGAGTTTGACTTATGAAGCTAGCATGCAGTAAAACTGAAGAGCTGGTAAACTTGAGAGGGTGACCATCTATTTTATGGCACATAAGTTTGTTGTGAGCAGTCCTTACATACACAACCCGTAAAGGAAAGCATACCTGATGCTGAGATATTGAGCTGTCATAGGCAACATCAATGCGGCTTTGCAACCTCTGCAGGCATTCCTCCTGCAAGCATTGACAATAAGGATCATATAAGCTATTTGAAAAGCACTAACGAGAAGTCAGCTTATATTAGAGGAGAAACACACAATCATTATACAGTAAAGCAACTAAAACAGAGGAAAATGGTACCTGAGCAGGCGTTAGATCAAATGAAGGACGGGGGTCACCGTCTCTTCCCTGAACACAAACACAGGAAAGGCCACGGCCTAACCACGCTGCCGATCCAGCTACAACCTCAGCTGCAATAAAATAAAATCATAAATTGTGAGCTTCGGATGTTTTTCAATAAAAAAAAGAAATGATTTCTTCATGCAAGAGGGTGACTAGTCAAACATCTTTTAGCTGACTTTATAATACGTGAGAAGCATTCAATTTCCGTTAAAGCACAGACTTGTCAAAATAGAGAACGATGAAACAAAATTTCAAAGATTCCAAAGCAAAAAAATCCATTAGCTTTCCCCTTATTCACAATCAAAAAAAATTGAAACAAGTAACAAAAGATTTTAGCAACAAGCTTCCATGGAAAACAAACTAGCAATTGAGTCAAAAGAGAAATGGAATCTGCAGGGAAGACTAATCTCGACTAGAGAAACCAACGCAAACAATTTCGTATGGGATACTAAAAATAGGACTTACAAAGAAGATCAACACACATAATAAAAAGAAAACTAAACGAATTTATGAGAAAGAGCAACAAAAAAGCAAATGGCGAAACATAGATCTGCAACACCAAATCTCAAATAGAAAGGCAATCGCCAGCGAATCGCCAGAGAGAGAAAAAAGAGAAAACGTGGAAAAAGTGAAAGAGATAGAGATAGAGATGTATAATTTGGTTTGAGAGATAAGAAAACGCGTTTGTTCCATAAGAAGCAAAAAAAAGCATCGTATCGTACAAAGAGAAAATGAAATTACCAGAAGAAGAATGATAAACACTTCCTCGTTCTAGACCTTGTGAAATCCTCCTCACTGCTACGAACGATCCTCCTCTATCATCCATCTCACTCTCTTTTCACCTCAATCACCAAATCTCTTCAATCAAATGCAGAAACAAACAGCAAGTACAGTTATCGAATCAATCGGAACTTTTCGGAATCTGAATCAAACACAGACGCAATGCGAATCACAAAACTTAATCCATATCATGAAATTTCTGATCAAAACAACTAAACAGAGAAAATGATACTATATTTACCGCCGGAAAACGAACAAACCGGCGTCGCTGCTTTCATTCAAAAACCACAGAGAGAGATTGACGAAAACAGTTAGGGTTTCGAGATCTACCGAGGGAGTCGCCGGAGTTTATGCGGCGATTGAGCTTACCAGAGGCGGAATCGGCCGTTTCTCTTCTTCTTTTTTTTCCTCTCTCTTTGGGTTTAAGAAAACAAAAATGGCCGGGGATTAACTATAGGATCTGGCGCGTATTGTTCAATCGCTATCAGAAGCTTCGTAACGGCAAATAAATGACTCGTGCGGTCATCGGTATTTAAGTCGGGCGTCGTCAACGACAATCTTCGACTAATTCATTTTTCTTTTATTTATCTTTCAATCTCTCTATTTTTAAGCATTTCTTTAAGATTCTGTTTTCTACTGTTGTCGACATCGTTAATATAGTTGTAACATAATAATAATTCCAAATTAATTACAATTAACTTATATACTAACAAACAACCATTCGAAAGTTGTATTTAAAACCAAAGATCTTCTTCGGAACAACGAAATTTTTTTTGATATTGAAATGTAATCTTACAAAATTATATGATTAGCCAAGTCTTAGTGCCACCCTTGCGGTTGCAAGTTTAGAAATGCATTCAAAACTTAGCTTTCAATCTAGTTTTTGTTTAACTTCTTAATAAGCCAAAACATCGAATCCGAGTAAGATACTATAGCATGTAGAAGTAATAATGCTGTCTACAAAGCTAATTACATAAGTGAGATCACGGTCTCATGGGTGCGACAATTTCATTAAGGCGTGGGCCAATAGTATGACCGCCATGGCTTAACTATAGCCGACCCGCGTGTAAAATTGCCTTTTCCTTTTGTTCGTGTGATTAGACATTCACTTATTTATTAACATGTCAATTATTTAGATCCTTACATTAATGCAAAAAATAGTAAAATTCGTATGATTAAGTTAACGATTGTGTAAAACTTTTGGGAATTGTCAAAAGTCGGTGTAACGAGGCATGACTACCTGTCTCCGACAAAGGCTCCGTTCTGCAAAAAATGTTTCTAGATCCCAACAATTATGTTTGGGTCATTATATATTTGTATATATACAAAAAAAAAAAAAAAAAAAAACGATATTCCAGTCCTTTTTATCAATCAATTTTGTATTACTCAAACACGAATTACAAACTTATTTAAACACAAACGAAGATTTATGAAATATATGTCAAACTATTTTTCCAAAAGCATAAGAAAAAAGTATGCATCCACATAACACATACATGTGCATAAGTTTTGGAAAAAAAAAAAAACATCTGCATAAGTAATCGATTGTCCTAGACGGCTAGACCTCAAACTTGATGCTCCGCCCAAAAATCCACAACTTTTGTATTAGTTGACATAAAAAAAGCTCGAGATCATTTTTAAATAAAGCTTGTGTTGTCAAGAGTCTGCAACAAATGCTTATAAGTTTTTGATAATATAATACTGTCTTATGCAGAGTCGTGCACCACGCCACCACATGCTCAATATCTTCAGATTCTGAAACACGATTTAACTCTAGATTTTGTAAATAGTTGAGTTCGTGCTCTTCATGTCCGATTTTTCTTTATTTAATTTCCTTAATGTTCACTATATAATTATTATCCGATGACCTTTGTCAGGTCTAGTTCCGTTGACCAATGCATCTTCCAAGTTCCAACATACTCTAATTCCAAAAATCGTAATTCTGTTAGTTGTCAAGTTTGTTAATTTTGTCACGATTTATGGATTTCATATCGTGGCCCATCAATTTTGGTCGACTCTGATTTTACAGCTCAAAAATATAGAAGTTTCCAAAATAAACAAGGTTTTAGTTTAGGCCCATATGCAGCCCGGTTCAAACTTCAAACATAGGAGGAACTTGGGAACAAAGATTAAGTTTCTCCCTTGCCACAAATGGTACAAACCATCAAAGATTACAGCATTCTAACAAAGCAAAGTAAAGATAAGAAAAGGAAGAAGCACTTTTAGCAATAGCATCGAGACAACTATATGCTTGACGACCTTGTAATCGGAAAAATGGCTTCAACAGCCAAGTTTTACTATATGGTTGGTGGTATCTTGCCATTTTATCTAAGAAATTTATCTGCTCACACAATGAATCATCATCACAAACACAAGGCCCAATCAGAGAAGCCCATTGTAAAAAGAAAAGAAAAACAGTGGAGAAGAAAGAGAGACCATCTTTACATCTTCTATGTCCTGTCTTCCACTCTGTAACCAAAATTATATATAAATTTTTTAAAATTAAAATTAAAAAAGAAAACCCTAGATTTCTCCGTCTCTTTCCTTTCTCTCAAGCTTCTCAGAAAGTCTGACACTTTGAGAATCTAATCTCCAAAGTTATTGTCTTTTGGAGGAATTATGTACAAGGAACGTAGTGGAGGAGGAGGTGGGTCATCGAGATCGGAGATCCTCGGCGGAGCTATTGATCGGAAACGAATCAACGATGCACTCAATAAGAAACTAGAGAAATCTTCAACTCCCACCACCACATCTAGGGTTTTCACTTCTAAAGACAAAGATCCCTTTTCATTCACATCTACTTCCACTGCTAAATCTCAGCTTCCCGATGGTTTGTTCCTCTTTTTTTCACATCTGTGAGTTTTTTTTGGGTTAGTTAATTGCATTTTTTTTCTGATGTTTTTTTTTTGGTTTTGCAGTGGAATCGGAAACTGATAGTGAAGGGTCAGATGTGAGTGGATCGGAAGGTGATGATACATCGTGGATCTCTTGGTTTTGTAATTTGAGAGGGAATGATTTCTTCTGTGAAGTCGATGAAGATTATATTCAAGATGATTTCAATCTTTGTGGATTAAGTGGTCAAGTTCCTTACTATGATTATGCTCTTGATCTCATTTTAGATGTTGAATCTTCCAACAGTAAGTTATCTTTCTTCTTTGTTGATAAGGAACAAGTAAAGTTAGAAAATTTTGGTCTGAAACCTTGTATCTATGTTTGTGTGGGGGATTTAGGTGAGATGTTTACTGAAGAACAGAATGAAATGGTGGAATCAGCTGCTGAAATGCTATATGGTCTTATTCATGTTCGTTACATTTTGACAACTAAAGGAATGGCTGCAATGGTTAGAGAATCTCTCTTCTCTATTGTTTATGTTTTGGTGCTTTTAATTTCGTTGTTTGCTTAACGACTTCTCTTGTTATTGATCTCTGTAGACTGAGAAGTACAAGAACTGTGATTTCGGGAGATGCCCGAGAGTTTTCTGCTGCGGTCAATCTTGTCTTCCAGTTGGACAATCCGACATCCCGAGATCGAGTACTGTGAAGATATACTGCCCAAAATGCGAGGACATATCTTACCCGCGATCTAAATTCCAAGGCAGTATCCTTTTTCTCTGTTCATTAAACCATATCTTTTGGCTTAGTCATTTCAATATTTCAGTGAAAGCTACGCTCTGCTTTTGCTTCAATTCAGACACTATAATCTTGAGTATTTGCATATAAATGCAGCAGCATGACATCCTGGTGTTATTGTATCTTAGCGTTTTCCTTAAATGACTTGTGCAGATATTGATGGAGCATACTTTGGAACCACATTCCCTCACTTGTTCTTGATGACTTACGGGAACTTAAAGCCGCAGAAACCGACTCAAAACTACGTCCCAAAAATCTTTGGCTTCAAGGTACACAAACCATGATACTAGTGCTCTACTTTCTCAATGGTGATACATCTAGTGGCTCGGTAATTGCATCCGGATGAGCAACAACTGAAACGATAGCTGCGGTTTGAATGGAGCATACATCAATCATTGGGTAGAGGATGAACGCTAAAACGAAGTTGATAGATGGAATCCTGAAAGGAGGATCTCATGAAGTTCCAAGAAAACTTATAAGTGCAACAGCCTGGCTCATTGGGGGTAAAGAATGAACACTTGAGTCTGTCTCCCAAAAGATTTTCCCCAATTAGTTGGATTTTGTTTTAACTGTTGAATTATTATTTGTTTTCCTAATTTCATGTAAAACTCATAAATTGTTCAATTGAAGGTTAATCTAATCAGTAGAGAGCCTCTGGTTATATGTCAAAAGCCAAAACGTAGATAAATAAATTCCATCAAAGATCCCAAGGCCATTAAAATACAGTCAAGGGACCAAGATCTCCTATCAAAGCATCAAATCGGTGATGATTACGACACAAAACTTAAACATAGACCAATCAATGTAGGATTTCAGTAAGAGATCACTGCTACAATAAATTTATTTCGTTAAAGCAAAGCCAGATCGAACATTCTACAACAATTCCAAAGTTAATAACGTTTGTTTTTGTTATTCCCAGACTTCTTTTAGGATCTGTTATCACAACTTGATAAGGCCAGTTAAAGATTGTCACTTCGATCTATAAGTACTGTACCAATATTCTAAACTTTACTAGATCTGAAAAATTACAGATCAAAGAACATATAAACCTAAGGTTGGATTAGTTGTCAATAACTCACACCTAACTTTAGGTTATATTGCAAGAATTCTTGAAAATGAAACTTTGAAAATCAACTCAACACAAAATAAACACCTGCTTAAACTGCTTAATGTAATAAAGTCTTGATTCAAAACCACAAGCATAGAGTTCGCAAAACTCAATTGTCAAAACAAGGAAACAAAATATAAAAAGCCAGCAGACTTAACCCTCGATCTGCTCCCTCAACCTCCTGATTGTGCTTCTTACAGTGACCGCACTGGCGGTGCTGCAATTCACAAACGAAAACAATTTTCTCAGAAAACAGATCATTGATTAATAAAAAACACAAAGCAAAACAATAAATCAGGGATCACTTACTTCATTGTGTAAGCACCACCTGCCTTGACCTTGCCACAATCCTTGCATCCCCAGATACCAACAGCCTTTCGCTTCACGCCGTACTGCAGCCATTAATCAAACCACGGTTACAACTTTTTTCCAAACCAAAAAAGATTCACAAAGGAAAAGAGAAAGTGAATGATGGTCTCTTTCTTACCTTGCCACAGAACTCACAGAAGTACTTGCTGTGTTGGCTGACCTCCATCTTCTTAATCTGCTTCCTGATACTGGCACCATAACGTGTTCCTGAAATCACATAAACCATTCATACGTTAGGAAGAGAAACCACAACAGATATAATAACCAACTTAGACCAAGTATGAAAAAAAGAATTGCTACATAAAACCAGAGACGACAGATCTCTTACATATTAACAACATCATATAATGAAACGAGTCTAGTAAAGAAAATGTTCACAAACTCCATTCCAAATGAGCTACAAGCCTAAGCAAAATGCAGATCCTATCATTATTTCTACAGCTTTTGACATCCTGTGCGATCCAATATGAGATGCATAGAAGAAATTAAACTCAGGAATAATTACCGTATTTGCCGACGATTCCAACCTTCTTCGTTCTCTTCGCCTGTGGAACATCGAAAAAAGGGTAGTGGAGTCAGAAGAGAGAGGAATATCACAAAACTAGACTTATATCAAAATCCACAGATCAACTATGAAACTAGCAAATCTCAAAACGAAAGCTCGAGCGAGATAGAAGGAAGTATATTCGAAAGCATGCTAATACAAGAACAATAACGAAGAGAAAGGATTAGGTTTTTTCACCATTTTTCAGAGCAAGCAGGAGGGAACACCACGCCGTCGAAGATAAGAAACCCTAGTGAGCAATTTCATTTGGCACACTCTTCGCCTCTTTATATACGAATCATGTTAGGGCATTTTTTTAATATGGGCCTTTGGACCATCATATATGGGCCATCAAATTAACCCAACTTTAAAGATGTAAAAGCCTTGTTGCTTCTCTCATATGGATGTAGAATTTTTAAGATGGGCCTTTAGACCTTATGCACTAATAATAATAACTCATATCTGATCGAATTTTATCAAAATTTATTATAACATTGAGCTCTCTGGTGCACTAATAAAACTTTTATACGAGAAGGCTAAATAAATAAAGAAATGAAATCTTTTGGAAGGTTTTTGCTATATAATAAAATAGAGAAACTCCCCTTTTAACAAATTAGTTTTGTTGAAGCACTTAAAAAGAGAAAGACTTTAAAGAGAGAGAAAAAAAAAAAAAGAAAGAAGAAAGGAACCTAAAAGATGGTTCCATTTTTTTTTTCCTAAGTAAATTTCTCTAATATCTTAGACCGGTTAGGTGCATGAGGTTTGAAATCTTCAATCCTCAGACCTGAGCTCCGGCGAATCTCAACCAACGCTTCTTCTCCTGCTTCTGTCTTTATCATCTCCAAAACACTCCCAAGAACATCACCGCCTAATCCAAACTCTATCAGACTTCCTGGTTCTTCTCCTCCTTCCCGTATTAACCGACCAATCTCTGTCAATGTCACTACTTTCTCTGTCACACTTTTACCAACAATTCTACCAAGAAACTCTGCTGCTTTTGGAGCATCATTTACAGCATCCTCCAGGGTTGTCAAAACAGATTCAAACCTGTGAAAAAGCGGTAACAGATTTAAGCAACAGACGTTTGATTAGACTGTGTGACTTAAACGATTTATGGGCTTTGTTTACTTACCCTTTCACTAGCTGGACTTCTGTTAAGGCGTTGTCAGCAGATTTCACGAGGTTCACAAGGAGCTTTGCTAAGAGATCCCTTTCTTTGTCTTTTCTCTCAAACGAATCAGTTACCCAGAGAGAAATCATTGTTGGGTGATAAGCTGGCGAATTCATATCTTTCATGCACATACCAATCTCATTCTCATCTCGGGCACTGCACAAGAACAATCATTGGAACGCACAAGAGTGCTTATCAAACGAATAGAAAATAACATCATACAGAAAACGCACAGTCTGTTAAAAAGAGACAGATTCTAAACTGTCACATATGATAGAAAACAATATAAAACGCACATACCAGTCAGAGTTTCACCTTTTATTAGAGATTCTATTTAAATCAAAGAACAATGTCTCTCATATGTATTTTTAATCCGTTTTGTTGGAAAAAATTCTAATTTACCTACTTCAAGAAATATACACTTTATCAGATGATCTGTCGTTGTAAACAAACGCTTTAACTGTAAACGAATAAACTGTAATTTGATCCAATTGTACCTACCCAGGTTTCCACAGAATAATTTCCTAAATGTGGCAGTATCTGATGACTATGCGAAGAACGAAACAAATGACCAGCAAGGAAGGAGAGATATAGTACCTGTAATATTCCTTAATTGCAGACAGTGACATATTATGTAACCGTTCCTCAGACAAAGCATTTTCTCGAGGACTGTTTACTGTAGATGATGGCCCTTGTAGTACTTGCCTAGCAGATGAAACTTCTGGTGATGGATCAGAAGTACGCGACAGACTTGCAAAGTCCCTGTGAACATAAGCTGTTCCCCGCTCTTGAGGACTTGACCGTCCATGAGTAACAGGACTTGCAGGTCTATGTGAGCCAAATACATTCAAACCACCGGCCGGTCGCCTAGAATCTCCACCACCGGCCTGAGTAGCATCAGACTGAAAAGTGTTTGACACTACTGCAGGCCTTCTAATAGACATTCCCTGACCAAGACCACCTTGCGGACCCAAGGTAATAGGCTCCTCACCAACTGACCTTTGAGGCATTGGAACCACCCTAGGCTCATAAGATGGCCTTTCATCAAATCTAATGTCCTGATTACTAAAGCCACGACCTTGAGGTGGTCCATGGTAGCCACCCATTTGGGCACTTGGAGGTGATAGCATTCCTCCTCCTCCCCTAGGACTAAACTCCATATGCCCTCTTCTTGCTGACGAATTCATCGAGGGTCCACGTGAAAGCCTATTAGCTTGAGTTTGGCGTTCTTGTGCAGCATCCCTGTGCACTTCCTCAATTTTTTTCGGCCCTTCAACCTTCATTCTCTCCTGCCATTTGTTCTTTCTCAGATCGATGGCATTAATCAACATGAACCTCACCCTAGAAGACAATTCTTGTTTGCATGATAGCATTTTCATTTTCTCAAAATATCCATCCATCTGGAACTTGGCTTTGTTATGATCGATCATAACTCCTATCGTACTCATTAGTTTACACAGAGCTTCAATATTCTCTTCATGTGGATCTTGATTATACCCGAGCAACTTCTGGATGCATGCGTGCATGATTTTCTCAGTCAACATCCTTTTCTTGTACAACTCACCAATAAGTCTGATATTACCGAGCATTCTCCTCCGCACCTTGAGTCTTTTCTCTTCCCTTTCCTCCTCGGTTTGTTCTACTTGTCCTTCTTCGGCAACTCTACTGGCTTCCTCCTCTTCTTTCTCCCCTCTCTCGAATTCTTCCTGACATTTATTGAGCAGCAATCTTTTGAAGGTAATCTTTTCACCATTCTCATTAAAATCAGGTAACGCCCCAGACAGATGAAAACAGAAATCTGCATACATCTCACAGAATGTTGGCTCCATCAAGGCTTTGTCAAATATCTGTGAAATGACACCAGAAAGTGTAACAGCGTTGTCAATGTTGACACTTTGAACTTGCTCAAACAGTTTCTCAAAGTTTTGTGGGGTCAACTTGTTCAGGATGCCCTTTAATTGCCTTTGTTTTGCTTGTTCTTCATCTGTAACTGTACCCACTTCGTATTTTCTCTCGGCTTTGTGCATCACCTGCATAGGAGTATGCGGAGAAGGAAAAAGTCCTTTTTGTTGGAAATTTGAACCACGTTGCCACCTTTCTAAGTCGGGGGTATTTCTGCCCATTCCTCCCATAGGACCCACAGGTTGCATCGGTCTAGATATAATTGGTCCCTGCATACGAGGGTTTCTTAAAACTCCCAAGTTTCCTCCTTGACCAGGTCGGAAACCTAGGTTACCGCCATATCCTGCTGGAAGAGAACCCTGATTCTTCGTCCATCTATCATCAACAGCCATGTTGCTGGGACGACGATCTAAACGAGCACCACTTGCTTGGCGATCCATAACCTTTCCAGGAGTAGGATATGAATCATGTTCATGATGTGATGCACCCATATATGCAAAAATCAAGGCATTAGCAATATCAGGGGAAACGTCAAATCCCTCAGGGAGAGCAGTACACAGGTCTGCAAACTTTAGCAGGAAATCCCGGGAGTACTTCTTTTCTGTATTGCTACAGCTGTCTCTGACCTCATCTGAGGAACCTCTCTTTGCATTCACAGAATTATCTGCAGTTTCCAACTTTGGTGTAGAAACATCGGCTGCATCTTCCCAGTCTTCTGGTTCATTTTTCACTGGTTCAGCATCCACAGTGGCTTCAACAGCCTGAGGTATGGCAGGTGCCAGCTTCTGGTTCGAAACATCATTAACAACATTTGAGCTCTCTTTCTTTTCCTCAGGCCCTTTGTAAGCCATATAGAGATCAGAAGTTGTCCCTGCAGCATCTGCTTTTTGAAGAATTTCTTTTATCTTCTTCTTTCCTTTTGTAGAAGTATTTCTTCTCGTGTTTATTTCAAATGCAGATTTATCTTTGGAAAGAGTAGCTGGGGCAGAGGTCAAACTATCACCAGAATTTTCTATACCATGATGTTTTGACAATGTTTCTGAATGTCCAAGAGGAACAGTAGAAGACAGAATATGAGTAGAATGTGGAAGGTCAGAGCTTGTATCATCTGTAACTTCAGCTAATTTTTCAGAGACAGGACAGACTTCTGTGGCACCATCTACCTCATTCTGTGCCTTCTCAAGCACACCTGACATTGTTTCGAGTTTTTCATCCGAAATTACAGACCTTTCAACGAGCCTGTCAGAAACAGTCCGTTCATCACATTTTAGGTCTTTCTCTTGCGGTGAAGAACCAGAAATCTCAGATGAGGCATGGCTTGACCCTTCCATAGATTTGTCAATATTTGTATCTACTGATTCAAAAGTTGGAGCATCAGCTGTAGGAGACACTTCCATGAGTTGCTTCCTAAACCCGTTGGTAGCTGGGAGTGATAAATTTTCCTTGGCAGCAACGGTTTTTGTTTCGGGATCAGAGACCAGAGAGTCTGGCATAGTCTGTCCAAAAAATAAAGTAATTTAGTCAAGGTATAAAAACAATTACTAAATAATACCCAAAAACAAAACACGGTATCAATATCATACCTCAGTCGGATTATGAGGGGGTTCCTCCTTACATGTCTGATCTTCAACTGAGATCGACTCACTCACCATTTCTGCTCTTCTGATTTCAGTCGTTGCAACTGGAGCAGTCTCCACAGATGACTTCTCTGGCGGAGCAGACGAATTTGGTACTCCAGAAACAAAGCCAGGTTTCGGCTGCTGTGAAGAGCTCAATGAACCTGCCTCCACGTCTTTTTGTGACAGAGAAATGTTAACTTCTCCATGTGACCTGGCTTTTGGTGATCCAAGCTTTTCAGAAGCCCCAGCTGGCTTCACTGATACCTTTGCATTTACAGGTAGAGCAGATGACAATACATTTTGGGTATTGCGTGCTTTCACAGAGGAAGCTGAATCAGATGAAACATAAGCAGGAGCTGCGGGTCTGATAAGCTGTGGAGCAGTATGAGCAGGTTGGCTGATAAGTTGTACTCTCTGAGACCCATCAATAACTGGGTAATGGTATCTCGGTGCCTGAGCGGATGATATTGGACCACTATTTAAGGGTACAGAAACCGGAGGATATATCATGGTATTTGAGTTATATGAGGGTTGCACCAAATTGACTTGTCGTGGAGCAAGTGATGAGACTGGCTGTGATCTGGGAGGTGGGTTAGAATGTGGTTTAAAAGCCGCTGATTCGCCTTCTGAATACGGTTCACCGCGTCGATCAAGCCTCAGCTCTTCGTGTGTGTCAGGATGTGTAATCTTTACAGGCGTGGTCTTGCGTGTCCCACCATATTTTCCTCCTTGCTGCTGGGGATACTGCGGGCTCAAACCCACACCCACATGGCCTAACTGATGATGAATTTGAGCACCCATTGGAGTTGCAAAACCATGTCCCTGAGCCTGATGCATCATACCCTGATGATGCATTGGATGTGATGGATGTGATGGGAGACCCTGAAAAAACAACTGCGGCGGGATTTGAGGGGTATTTCCCATAGATAATGCCATTGGCATTGGCATCTGAAATGAAGTTGCAGTCACGGGAGGCTGCATATGCATATTCGGCCCACCAAAATGTACAGGGTGAGGGACCTGAGCATGCTGATATGGTGTCTGCACAGAAGGCATGCGGATATTTGTAATTGGAGACTTCTGCGTTTGACTTGGAGGGGATATATGTGGGACTTGGATATCAGCTTTTTCACTCGATGGATTGTGCCCCTCTTTCCTCATCAATTGATTATCAGCACCCTTATTTGATGAATCTTTTTTGGGTACAGAAGCTGGCACATTTGGTGCCGGTCTTAAAGAAGCTTGCTGCATCTGCAAAACAATGTTTGGCCGTGTCATAAACAAAAGGTAAAGTTCAGAACAAAGTGGAATAAAAGTCATCAAATTAACTTTCAGTAGATATTCTTTAAACCAATTTGAGTTAAAGATCAAGGCATCAGGCTAGTAAATCCCCATCCCAATACAAGACAGAGCATTTGAAGTCAGAAGCAAAGTTCGAGACACAGACTATTCATCATCCTATAAGCAAAAATTATTCATGTAGGTAACAATCACGTTAACGGCAGATGCATAATACTGAAAAAGGTGTTCCACCTGTGCACGTTTCTGCTCATCCATATTCGGAGGTGCAGAGCTAGTTCGAGCAGGAATCTAGAAAACCAACAGGGCAGATGATTCAGGTGTAGATGGAAAAATCAAACAAACAAAAGAAGGAATAACAGCATACCTTCATCAAATCAGGACCAAGTGACCCAAATTGCACAGCAAATGCTTGAGAAGCGTCTCCAGAGGCTGCCACAAAACAAAACAAAAAACATTATAAAACTTATACCTTTATGGATGTACAGAGGAATTTAATTCAAGCTTCAAAGCTCAGGACACGCATACAAAAACTAGACGATGCAACAAAACCTACCTTTAGCTGTGTTGGGCGTCTCATTGTTTTTGGAACTCATGGCGGTAGACTGAGAAGTTGGAGCCTTTGGAATAGGTCCAGTGTTTCTGTTGAATGATTCAGTTGGATTGGCTGGACCACCAACAACCGGTTCACCAGACACTCCTGTAACTAACAGTGTAAGAGAGATTGAACTAAACCAAACGATCACTAACCAAATTCATCTGAAATCATCCAATTTAAAAACTTTGAGCAAAAAAAGACCATCCGTGATTAAAGATGATACCTTGAGAGCGAGAGTGTGCATTGGGACCATTGTTGTGGTTGTTAGGATGATTCACAGGTGGCAGATTCACCCGAGGCTGCCCTGCTCCTTGAGCATTGCCGGGCTTCTTAAAACTGTCATAAATAACAATAAAGGATCAAAATTTGCAGAATTACCATGTCCAATAATGGCTCAGAGAATCCTCCAAATTAAACCAAAAAATAATTTTAAAAAAATCGAATTTGATTGAAAACCTGCGATTAGAAGAAGGCAAGGAAGAATTATCAGCGTAAGTGGAAGGGGCAGGCGCAGTAGCAGGAGCGCCGGCTCCCTTACCGTAACCGGCGGCGGAAGAAGATCGGTGCTGTTGTTGTTGTTGCTGTTGGTGATGGTTACCGGTGGATCGACCAGTTCTACGATATTGATTCTCGCTTCTGTCGGGCCTTGATTGATTGTAGGACATCTAGAACAAACCCTAATCTTCACCCTTTTTCAAGCTAAATTCTACAGCTCTGTAATGGAGAGTGAAACGACGCAAGGAAAGATAAAATTAGGGTTTTATTGGACGGACATGATTATAGGACCAAGAAAAGACGGGGAGAGAGGAGATGAATGAAGCGAGCAAAATACTATGCGCAATCAAAAAAAAAAAGGAAATTAAAGAAAGAAAAAAAAATATGAATAAGTGAAAGAGTCTGGTTAAAGTACCTGAATAGTAATTACGCTATCTTTTAGGGGTATAATCGACATTTCGTAATAGTTAATCTCGTTGCTCAAAAAACCTTTGTTCCGGTCAATGCAAAGAAAATATCAATAGATGTTTCAGGCGATCGCCAGGAAAAACTGAACTAACTCTTTTTAAGCCTTACCAAATTATCAATTTTATTTAAATTAGTTTTTAAAGAAAATCATCATACGATCTTTTTGTACTATCGTTTGAATAGATAAAGAAGCATCATGCGTTGACAAAACAAAAACAAAAAGCTGAATTTTCCTCACTAAAAACCAAATAAATGTAAATTTAAATTAATTTCATTCATTTATATAAATATAACAAATTATTATTTATCAAATAGTAACACGTGTGAATTTGGCTATAATTTATGGAGACATACGTGTAAATGGGAAATGGAAACAGAAGAACATACATACATTTTGAAATGAAAAATGTTTTCACTAATTTATAGACATCATCACATAAACTAAAAACTGTAAATATGTTGGTATATGGGAAAAAGGATATACAATGTGTTTCTTTGAACAGTTTTCAATATTAAGTTGATACGTCAAATTATACATTGTGAACTGAATATATACGCATTGTCCAAAGTTAGGTGATTTTGGCATTTAGTTATGACAAAATTACTAGATTCATTGTGTACATAAAGCTTGCTTCTAGTAGTAGAAAGGTAGGTGATCTCTTTTTTGTGATCAATTAGGTGGTTTACTTTATTTTGTACTTTAGAATATTTTTTTTTCTGGGAGTATTAACTGAATCACTTAATTATCGTACCTATTAAAAAGGAAAGTAGAACAACAAATTTCCATATCTCTCGTACATACTACTCTTTCATGTCTTTGTATACGATGGACGTAAGGGTGTCAAAATGGGTAATCCGACCCGACCCAAACCCATATAGGTTCGAGTGTTTAATGGACGGGTTTGATCCAACCCATATATTTATATGGGTTAAATTTTTACATACCCAAACCCATTATTGTAAAAATTCATTGGCTTAATGGGTTATATGGGTACCCATATATGTATAATAAAATATATAAATAATAAAAATCCAAAAAATAACATAAAATTGTAAACCAACAAAAGTTTTTAAATAATAAATTAAAAAAATCTACAATAGAAAAGCATCCTAAAATCTTAAAACCACAAATCCAAAGAACCATAAAACCAAATAAAAAGATAGTTGTAAAGAAAAGAAGATATTTATATAAATTTTACATAATATATTAATATAGATATATATAAATTTTACTTTTTAGTTTTGGTTATGAAACTCATGGGTAACTCATGACCCTAATGGGTTTTACCAATTAAATCTATAACTTTAATAGGGTAACCCACTAAAACCCATTTATATATATGGATAAAAAAATTCAATCCAAACCCATTAAAATTATGGGCGGGTTCGGGTAACCCATGGGTATTAACCCATTTATATATATATATGGATAAAAAAATTCAATCCAAACCCATTAAAATTATGAGCGGGTTCGGGTAACCCCTGAGTATTAACCCATTTTGACAGATGGACGTAGTCCGGTATTAGGAGCTTTCGACAAACGGGTCAATTTATGGAATCTGATAAATGGGCCACAAAGGGCAATATTGGGCTAAATATTTCAGAAGAAGCCCATTTGAACTGTAAGACCATAAATTTCGAACACTTAACATTAATTATTTTTTTCTATCGAAACTGAATCAAGAAGCACAAACAGAGATCATTCCCTTTTCTCGTGGTAAAAACCAGAACCAAAAATATAGGCAGAGATATAACAAAACTTCACAACCAATACTAATTTACTTTGGCCTCTCCGTTTCCTACCTTCCACTCTTTGTTTATTAACCTCCACATCCAATTTACAAAGGTCAGATGAAGATGTAAATAACTAAGCCATGACAAGACTCTTTGTCCGTACGGTTTCGCCGGCGGCGGAATCTTTCGAATCGGACGATTTACGGAGAGATGATGATCTGGAGGATGACGTTTTTCTCCACCTCTTGGATTTAGTTTCATCAGACTCAATCTGCTCTTGCCTACACTCTTGGCTACAGAATGCCATGTCCCCTCTGCAAAATTTTGATTTTGAAGACTGATTCATTTAGTTGTTTGGATCACAAGCAACGAAGAAGTACCTGTACATGAAAATGTCTGAGTTGAGAGAAAGGGTTTTGCGACAACGAGAGCAAGATTCTAGAAAGTGTGGCTCGTCACTGTCCAAAAACCCGACGTAATACGAATCCATTGTTATAGCTACGAGGTTTATAAGAATTCTCGATAGCAAGTGGAATCAGGACGATACAGGATTCGATTTAGAGAGAGAAGCTCTAGGAGGAAGAAGAACTTCATGATACATGGTGAAGTGATGGGTCTTATATAGAAAGCTAGAGTCTGGATCACCTGTATCACGAACCATTATAGCTTCTGTGGTCTACAATTCATGGCCACTTAAAAATCAATATATTAAAGATCTTGAATTTGTTTAATTTATCCGTGATTAGGTTATAAAGTTTGATGTAACGACATTATTATGGGAGTTCTGTATTTATTACAGTTTTATTAGATCAGTTGCTTTTAAAACTCAATTCAACATAATTATTGTACATTCAAGAACATAAATCATAGTATCATACTATCACGTAAAACACGAAGAAGTACATTTCTTATTAGTTTTCGATTTTGCGTGTCTAAACTACAACATGAGAGCCTGGTATGATACTATGGATTTAAGAAATTAAACTAACAGTATATATTCCTCGTTCGTCGAGGGAATAAAATGAGTCTGCCCTAATTGCTTTCCAAGTTCCATTATTATAGCTCTTGGCCAACAACATCATGCATCGTGTATGATCTATAAACTTTTCGAATATAATTTCAACAGATGTTTTTTAAATTATCATTGTTAAAAAGCTATGGTTTTTAGGGTTCTAGATTTTCATCTAATAATATATTTGTCAACACCCAACAATTTGATGTCTTATAATTATAAAATGTTTGAGCTCCAATCATTTTTCATTAGTCTTGTATTTTCTGATTTCCAAATAAAAATAAAAGACCACACAGCTATGGTCCAGTGGTAGTTGAGAATTGGGGAAATGTTTGAAGAAACTAACCCAAGTTCGATCCACGCTGGAAACAAAAAAAATATATCTGTGTGGGAAGTCTGGGCTTGGCCCAAGTAATTTACCTGGTAGTCCAATAACACGCGATCTGGCTACCCTAGCATTAGTCGGAAAGCATTCCAAACTCGGGACAGACAGTGTGGTAGCCCTTCGGGAAGAAATCCACACTGAAGCACTTCGGTACGTTTCTACCGGGGCTGACCGATCAGCCCATAAACGTGATTTATTTAGTCTGTGGCCCCCAAAAAGCCGTCAAGTCGAGTTTTCGTGACTAACATTGTCCGGATTCCGGAACCGAACTGGGATCTGACTAGGCAGCCCTCGGAAGACGACAAAAGGAATCCACTAAAAGAGGACCCACGTAAAACGAAGGCCCAATTCTCCAATTCATAGGGCCCCATAATACAAATGCAACAGTTCGAGTTTCATACTTTTATCAATTATTTTAGAAATAACAAACACATCTTAAAAGATATACTAGTTGTGTATATGTAGGATGTGACTGATAGTATTATATAGAAAAAAAGTTATGAGATGAAAATAAATTTTTCTATTTTATACTTAAATTTTACCAGTCAAGTAAATGACAGAAAAATTTATCTTTTTCCCAATTCTTCAAAAAGTAAGATAAAAACGTATAAAATATCCCACTACAAATATATAGTACAACAAATTCTTCTACTTTTTATTTTTATTTTCTTCTCATTTCTTCTTTTATTTTTCTTCTTATATCATACCAGTCTGTTGAGATTGAGTTCTTGATTAAACCTGCAAAAGAGAAAAGCTTCAAGTGAGAAGAAGATGAAGAAGAAAAGAGAAGATGCAAAAGCAAAGCAAAAGGAGAAGAAGTTGTCGAAGAAGAAGAGTCAACAGAAGAGAAGAGACAGTCAAAGATGAGGCTATTGGGCTAGAGTGAAGCCCACATAGTAATTGTGTGTTTTGGTTTGTAAATGGGCCGTTAGTAGAGTTGAGCCCAGATTATGTGTGTATGGTGTGCTTATAAATAATTAAGCTAAGCTAGAGTAGCTAAATGAGAGTGGTTGTAGTCTAAGGTAAGGTTGCTTGTAAACTAGAGCCTAGAAGAATGGCCTAGTAGAAGTTGTTATGTCTAGAGTCCAAGTAGAAGCATGGTGCAAGTGTGTGTAGTAAGTAGAAGTAAAACTAGTATAAGAGTGTGTGTGTGATGTTGTGTAATGTCATCCTAGTGATCCGAAATATCAATGTAGACAATTAAAGTAAAATGTGTTCTTGTTTTCTCTCTAGAACAAGTGAACACAAACGAGTAAGAAAGTGTGAAAGATAGAGAGATTGTGAGAATTACAACATGGTATCAGAGCTTACTTGATCTTGGAGCCTGTCCAAGGAAGAAGAAGAAAAAGCTGTGAGGAAGATGGAGACAGCCATCAACAAAGAAGAAAGCTGGCCGTAAGAAGAAGACGGCAAAGATGAAGAGATGATGCAGCCCGAGAAGCTGCTGTAAGTGAGACGGCAAAGAAGCCGTGGAAGAAGAAGAAGAAGAGAGTGAGACCTTGAGTGGACTTGAGCTCAAGGCAAGAGATTTAAATCTTGAGTGGATCTGTGCTCAAGACAAAAGAAGAGAAGAGCCTGCACAAGAAAGAGAAGTGTAAGGCTGAGGGAAAAGAAGAGCAAAGCTGAGATTATGTCGGAAAAGAAGAGAAGGAAAGAGATGTGGTGACAAGAAAGAGCACCACCAACCTACACAAACTCTTTCCCACCGTACCTTAGAGAAGGAGGGCTTCAGGTGCATCCAAGTAGACGTGGAGATCTTCTGGAAGAAGCAATGAAGACAACGGTGTGGAGATGGTGTTGTGAAAGGTGATGAATTCAATCCTTGTTCGACATTGTCTTGGTGAAGCTCAAATATGCTCGATGAAGTGGAGATTCCATGCGATTCTTCAGCTGAAACGAGGAGAAAGAAGAAACCTTGGTTAAAAATACCAAGAGGATTCGGAACTAGAGAGGAGATGCCTGCAGCAGAAGAAGCTGAGGCAAAGAAGGAAGAAGGCACCAATGTAAGCTTGGTTGCAACCTCCAAGATGAAATGTAGACTATGTAGTCTTGCGTCAAAGAGGAAGCAACTAAGGTGGCAGCAATGGTGTCGAGAAGCTCCAATCCGTGACTAGGGTTGAAATCTGAGTGGATCAAAACCTGAAAACGAGAAGGAGAATCCAAGGTTAGAATAACCAAAGTGGTGGTGAAGGATCAAACAAACCAAGTCGGAGAATGCCGAGGTTGATGATTCAAGAAACCAATCAAGCTAGGGTTAAGAAAACTGAGGTGGAGATTCAAAGAGCCAAACAATCTAAGGCAAAGAAAGCAAGGATGAGACTCATGGAGAAACCTAAGAGACTACGGTAAGAGAAGCCGGGTGATGGTGCCAGAGTCAAAAGTCCAAGGCTAAATGCTAAGGTGATGGTTCGGAGAATCGAAAAAAAAGAGAACAAGGCTGGTGATCACAGTTGACACCAAGCAAAGAAGAAGCTCACCACAGTGGGAGCTGAAGCCGGTTGCAATGTCAGCCGAGCAAGAGACATGACGAGTGGTCATGGTCTCATGGAGAAGAAATTTAATGAGAACGTGAGAAGAGCTCACGAAGGAGAAAACTTGGAGGAGACATGGAAGGCTCATGGCAAAGAGTTGAAGTGTTTCCTGCAAAGAAAAGTTTTTGGTCAGGAATTGATCAAAGAAAACAGAGGAGATTGCGAAGAGAATGAGCCAAGAGATGGCAAAAATATTCGCAACAAAAATGGAAAGAAAAGGGTTGGATCCATGGGGATTCAGCTTAAGAGGGAAAGCCAACATACGGAGAAAGTGGTGGTTGAAGACGCGGCGGAGACTTTCACCGTGACGGTGACTGGTGATCTGTGAGAGTTGTGACCTCTAGCTGTCGTTGGAGAAGCTATGCACCACGATAGAGAAAGAAGCTCTATTAAAGGAATAGAAGCAAGAAGGAGATGCTCGCCGAAGAAGAGAAGAGAGGCGATCTATCGAAGAAGAAGAAGCCATGGGATTGAAAGCCCTAAAATTGAAATTGGGGATTTAATCGAAGAACTCAAGAGGGAGTGTTGAGATTGAGTTCTTGATTAAACCTGCAAAAGAGAAAAGCTTCAAGTGAGAAGAAGATGAAGAAGAAAAGAGAAGATGCAAAAGCAAAGCAAAAGGAGAAGAAGTTGTCGAAGAAGAAGAGTCAACAGAAGAGAAGAGAAAGTCAAAGATGAGGCTATTGGGCTGGAGTGAAGCCCACATAGTAATTGTGTGTTTTGGTTTGTAAATGGGCCGTTAGTAGAGTTGAGCCCAGATTATGTGTGTATGGTGTGCTTATAAATAATTAAGCTAAGCTAGAGTAGCTAAATGAGAGTGGTTGTAGTCTAAGGTAAGGTTGCTTGTAAACTAGAGCCTAGAAGAATGGCCTAGTAGAAGTTGTTATGTCTAGAGTCCAAGTAGAAGCATGGTGCAAGTGTGTGTAGTAAGTAGAAGTAAAACTAGTATAAGAGTGTGTGTGTGATGTTGTGTAATGTCATCCTAGTGATCCGAAATATCAATGTAGACAATTAAAGTAAAATGTGTTCTTGTTTTCTCTCTAGAACAAGTGAACACAAACGAGTAAGAAAGTGTGAAAGATAGAGAGATTGTGAGAATTACAACACAGTCACACCCGTATTGTTTTTTTTATGGCCGTCAAATGTGTATATGTAAAATAAAATAAAAGATGTGTATATGTATTTATATACATAATTCCTAATTATTTTACGGAGTATTTGACTGGAGAGTAGAGAGATGTTTTTTCTAATACATATTACGGAGTATTTCACAATTTGCGAAGACCTTGGAATTTGATAAGGCACCTATAAGGAGGTTTAAGGTACATTTTGCTCTCTTGCTATCTTAATTCCTCTACTACATTTGTCTGAATTTGTGATGTTATTAGGCTCACCAAAAAAATAAGAGGCTGAATTTGGAGAATTACGTTTTAAGGACTCCTCTAACCTTATTTTGAGAATCTATGGAAAAAGAGTAAATGTGGGTGGGTTTGGAAACTAACGTCTAACGGTTCCTACTGCAAGTACATTCTGGTCACCACAAAGCCTTGTTTTCTAATCCAAAGCATTGCATGTAGATGAAACTGCCAGCTTTCCCTCGGTTTTCATGATTGTTTGATGTATGTGTGCCTTTCTT